AAAATGGTTCATTAAAGTACAATGGCAGACGTTTTTTCTTGTCATTTTGAGTGCAGTAATTGCAGCCATACACACTTCAATAAACGATCAGTTTCTTTTGATTGTTCTTTTCAGAGAGGAATAATCTGTCTGTAGGTGACAACCCATTCCACTGATGTACACATGCTGAGATTGAGGATTTTGATTGATAGTTAAACTATGATTGATAGTAAATTATTGATCACATCTCTGTTTCCACAATGTAATCTCATAATCTGATCAAAATACAATCACATTCATGACCGGTGATGGTGATCAATGCAAACTGATTGATCATTTTCCTGTCCTGGACAATCAACTAAGTTTGATCAAATTCAATCGAAATCAAGTCTTTGTCACTTGGAAGGGAAGTCATGGCTGTTTGACTATTTGCTGATTTGATTAATGCGATTGAATTGCACATCAATTGGGTTCAGGAGATGATCTGGCAATTTACAATAGGACTAAGGTATTGCGACTTTAAGCCAAGTTTTTGGCTCACAATTGTCATGCAATTCCACTGATTTGAATGGCAGGATTTAATAGGCAGTGCTGACAGTCATCTTGACATGCTGTGTCAAATTTCCATGGCCTTGATGCAAAACCTTGCTGCCATGGCATGTGAACAACCCCATCCGGCTGAAGTGTAGAGTGGTCACAGGGCAGTAAAACTGTGCCTCAACTGCCTGTTTTTACAGCCCCGGCTGCCTGTGTAAAAGAAGTCTAAGGGAAGGGTTAAAACCTGGTTCACGTTTTTCATGGTATTTTTGTTCCATTGGGGATATTTCCCTTCGCTTCCTACCGCATAGCCACAACAGGAAGTGTGAGGAAATCCCTCTAAAGTGAGGGAATCCCTGGCTGTCACCAGAACTAGTGTCCTCATTGGAAGATTTCCCCTCAGTAAAGAGGACCAGTTACTACCTATTGCTGTCACAAGGGATGTTTACATTACTTGTAAAACAAAAAAAGGGATTAAAAAAAGTAAAGGGACAGTGTAACAATAAACAAAAATGTAATAAAATAAATAATTTTTAAAAAATGTAGGCGCTTCTGCAAACCTGGACTTGTGCTCAAAGGTGAATGCATACATAGGTCACAAACGCATATGTAAACTGTGTTTGCACCATAGATGTGAGGTATTGTGAAAGTTATAGCGAGAACAATAATTATAGCACCAGACCTCCTGTATAAAGCATTGCCTATACAGATTTTTAAGTACCGTAGTTTGTCGCCATTCCACAAGCATGCACAATTTTAAAGCGGGACATGTTAGGTAACGCTTTTATTTTCGTACTATCTTTTATCTAATACTAAATAATTGGGTAATATATTGTGTTTTTGCGCATTAAAATTAATTAAAGAAAATTGCGTTTGAAAAACCACTGGGCAAATACTATGGGACATAGCAAAACTCACCATTTTATTCTCTAGGGCAGTGGTCCGTAACCGGACCGAGGGACAGTCCGGACCATAGCCACACCACCGCCGCCATAGGGCACACTGTGCAGCTGGGCTTAAGATGTCTAGGCCGCACAGCGGGAGGTGAGCAGCAACCGCAGTCTGGGTGGGGCTCATACAGACCATGGCTGCCACTCACCACCCACTTTGTGGCTATGCCTAAATCAGGGCTGACAGGAGGAGCAGAAGTGATGGCTGACACAGGGACACCTCCTTGGCTGGCCACTGCACTGAAGGGACAATGGCAGCCTCTTTTATTCACCCACCAGCACATGGTGAGAGCTCTGTAGCGGCAGTGGATGGGGCTGTCTCTGCTGGATGGACTGTCTCTTTGCTGGACAAGCTGTCTCTTTGCTGGATGGCTGTCTCTTTGCTGGATGGGCTGTCTTTTTGCTGGATGAGCTGTCTCTTTGCCGGATGCACTGTCTCTTTGTTGCAGGGGCTGTCTCTTTGCTGGAAGAGCTGCCACTTTTCTGGATGGCTGTCTCTTTGCTGGAGGGGCTGCCTCTTTGCTGGTTGAGCTGTCTCTTTGCTGGTTGAGCTGTCTCTTTGCTGGATGAGCTGTCTCTTTGCTGGATGAGCTGTCTCTTTCCTGGATGAGCTGTCTCTTTGCTGGATGGGCTGTCTCTGCTGGATTGGCTGTCTCTTTGCTGGGGGCTGTCTCTTGGCTGGACGAGCTGTCTCTTTGCTGGATGAGCTGTCTCTTTGCTGGATGGGCTTTCTCTGCTGGTTTGGCTGTCTCTTTGCTGGAGGGGCTGTCTCTTTGCTGGACGAGCTGTCTCTTTGCTGGATGGGCTCTCTTTGCTGGATGGGCTGTCTCTTTTCTGGATGAGCTGTCTCTGCTGGATGGGCTGTCTCTTTGCTGGATGGGCTGTCTCTTTGCTGGACAGCAATGTTTCTTTGCTGGACTGGGCTGTCTGTTTGCCCAGTTGGGCCAGAAACATCCCAATCCAGCAAAGAGACAGCCCAATCCAAGAAGGGACATCCCCATCCAGCAGAGACATCCCATCTTTGCTATATATTTGCTGTGTTCTTAGGGGCGCTGTGCTGTGTTGTTATTATTATTATACAGGATTTATATAGCACCAACAGTTTGCTCAGCGCTTTACAATATAACAGGAGACAATACAGCAACAATACAGTTCAATACAAGAGGGTTAGGAGGGCCCTGCTCCTTGGAGCTTACAATCTTGTTAGGGGCGCTGTGTTGTGTTAGGGGCGATTTATTATGTGTGAAAGCTTTCTGGTGTGAACAGGCCCTGAAGCTCTGATTAGATCTGTGTGGCTATGCTCATTCATTCATTTCAATTGACTGCCCTACCCACAGAAACGCAGGAAAAGTAGTCCCTGACACTTTTTTTTTTTTTAAATTGCACCACACTGTGACACCATGTAGTTTGTCACTGGAGGAAATTTTGCTGTTTTGCTGATTCGTGGGGGTGCCACTAAGGATTAAAAAAAATAAAAAAAGTCAGCAACTACAAAAACTGTAGCTGCTGACTTTTAAAATACAGGGGTGTTCTCACCATGGCTCATTTCACTGGCCGTCTTCTCTCCTTGGCGTCGGCATCTTTAATGTGGGCTGTGACAGCTTGTGGATTCACAACTGGGTACCCACTGCGCATGCGCGAGTAGCGCTGTGCCTTGTGAATGGTCCTGTAGTCTTCTGGGACCTGTCACGTGTCCTAGAAGACTACGGGGAGGGAGGGGGGAGGACAAATTCTGCTTCTGATCACCTTAGGCGATCCGGTGAGAGTGGGTACCTGTCAAATTTGGGTACCCACTCCCCAAAGGTGCCAATCCTTACAGCGGACTTCTGACGTTTTTGTGTTTATTAAGAGTCAGCAGCTACAAAAAGTGTAGCTGCTGACTTTTAATAAACACACACTTACCTGTCCTCAAGTCCAGCGATGTTCTCACCCGCGTCATCCCTTCTCCCCTTCTCTCCTCCATGGCGCTGGCATCTCAACTGTGGGCACCAGACTGTGACAGCTTGCGGTTTCACAGCCTGGTGCCCACTGCGCATGCATGAGTCTCGCTGCGTCTCCTAATTGGTTCAGAAGTCTTCTAGGACCTGTGAAAGTTGCCAGGAGACTGCGGGAGGGTGGAAGGGGCCAAACGTCCGGCTCACTTTGCCGTGGCAAACTGAGCCAGAAGTAGGAGCGGGTACCTCTCAAAAACAGGTATCCCCCCCAAAATGTGCCAAATATGGCATTGGAGGGGGGAGGAGGCAAATAAGCAGAGCTTCTGCTTTTGAGTGAAACTCTGCTTTAACGGGAATGGGGGACAAAATCTTAAAGCAGAACTTCCCCTTTTCTCTGTGGGTTAGAAGACACAAGGTCCCCACCTGTAGATCTGTAAGTCCAGGGACACAAACAGTAATTAAAACTTGACAGGGGTTCTAATCCCTCTCCGCTCTGTATGAAACCCCCCTAAAAAGGTGAATATATAATAAATGTGTAATCGCTGTCAGGGGCAGACTGACAACTTATGGGGCCCCCAGGCAATAGGGGATCATGGGACCCCTGTGTCCTTGCCCACACTCAAAGCACACCCAAAAAAAGCCTATAAAAGGTACCAGGGGCATTTTATGGGGCCCCTTACTGACCCGGGGCCCTCGGTCAGTCCGCCCGATTGCTGCCCGAAGCGCTATAAAAGTACCTGTAATAATGATAATAAAAAATAAAAGTTTTGCCTTTTTTCTAACAGAACAAAACAAACCATTCCAAGCAGCAGTGGTACAAGGTCAAATGTTTTCCCCTTATTTCTACTTTCACACAAAACAAATCCAGGAATAGTAACAATAATAAACAAACACCCCCCCTGAACACTGGAATTATTGAATGGTCTAATACAAGAACTGGATCAATCTTCTCTATAACATGGAGACATGTTTCCCATAAATCGGTCGGTTAGAAATAATGAAGAAGACAAATAGACGGATAGATCAGTAAACAAGCATCATTTCCCCGAACTCTGTGTCTCGGTGTCTCCGTGCCTCTATCAGTTCACCTCGACTTTCCGTTCCACACTGGAAATAGCAGAGTTAAAAAAACACTCCGCTCTCTGCACAGGGCTTTCCTCTCGGAGGAAGTTCACCATATAAGGGCATCTGCGTCATCGTCTGATGGTAAACCCGGGGCCACCCGGGACATACCAACTAGGACGCCGATAATAGGGGGGATCGGTTTCTTTTTTCTTTTCTTTGACAAAAATAAAGAAAAATTTCCAGACAAATAAAACTTCCAGCTGGATAGAAAATCACGATAATTGGCGGTATCATAAAACAGGAGCTCGTCGCTGCTTTAATAGACAAATGGGACAGTGTATCGTTTTCGGTTTCCGTGTTCCCATTGATAAAATGAAGCGGCGCTGATGTCTGAGTCAGTGTGATCAGTAGAGAGCTCGGGGTGCGGATCATGTACAGAGATTTCTCCGGGACTTACCCTCAGCAGGACTTAGGGTGCAGCAGCGGCAGTCACAGCCCTGACTCCGGGAGCTCACACTTCAGTATGGGGCACAGCATGGGAGCTACTCCCCCACAGGACAGCCAGCAGGTGAGGGCTTCATCAGATCCCAGACATGGAATTGGGATATATATATATATATATATATATATATATATATATATTATATATATATTTATATATATATATATATATATTTATATATATATATATATATATATATATATATATATATATATATAGTTATTTATATGTGTTTGGTTTAGAACAATTTTGATGATTATAGTAAATGATGGTGATGATACCAAACTGTCAGGATTATACTAAGAGCAATAATTAACGGATAATGGCCACCTACACATGCTATTTATTATACATTAGTAAGCTATTGTTATCCATATACACATATATTATAATATATATATATATATATATATATATATATATATATATGTGTGTGTGTGTGTATATAAATATTATTATTGATTTATTTTACATATTATATAGAATGTATAGTCTATATATTAACGTTTATATATTATATATATTTGTTATAGCCTCTATATTATAGTTTTATATATAATATATAGTTTATAGCCTATATATATATTATATATAGCTTATAGCCTGTATATTAAAGTTTTTTATTTTATATATATATATATATATATATATATATATTATAACCTATATATTATAGTTTATATACAATATATAGTTTATAGCCTGTATATTAAAGTTTATATATTTTATATAGTTTATAGCCTACATATTATAGTTTATATATAATATATAGTTTATAGCTTGTATATTAAAGTTTATATATTGTATATAGTTTATATAGTTACATAGTTAGTCTGGCTGAAAAAAAAGACAAAAGTCCATCCAGTTCAACCATAGAAAAAAAAAAAAAGTTATAATCCTATACCCACAGTTGATCCAGAGGAAGGCAAAAAAAACCCCCAGCAAAGCACGATCCAATTGCACCTGCTGGGAAAAAAAATCCTTCCTGATCCCCCGAGATGCAATCGGATATTCCCTGGATCAACTCTACCTATAAATGTTAGTATCCAGTTATATTCTGTGTATCTAAGAAATAATCCAGGCCTTTTTTGAAGCAATCCACTGACCTGGCCAGAACCAACTCTTGAGGGAGTCTATTCCACATTTTCACAGCTCTCACTGTGAAGAAACCTTTCAGTGTTTGGAGATTAAATTTCTTTTCCTCCAGACGTAAAGAGTGCCCCCTTGTCCTCTGTGATAACCTCAGGGGTGAATAACTCTACACCGAGTTCACTATATGAACCACTGATGTATTTATAATGTTGATCATATCCCCCCCTTAATCACCTCTTCTCAAGAAAGAATAAATTCAGTTCCTCTAATCCTTCCTCATAGCTGATCTCCTCCATGCCTCATATCAGTTTGGATGCCCTTCTCTGTACTTTTTCAAGTTTCCCAATGTTCTTTTTGTGAATTGGTGCCCAAAACTGAACTGCATATTCCAGATAAGGTATTAGTAATAGGATATATAATATAGTTTAGTTGCACTGACAAGGAATGACTTACACTTCAAGGATCATTCCATCCAAGGTTTTTGTTCAGATTCTTAAAACTACTGTTACCACCAATTTGTTCTCCCAATTGTATTTCTTAGTCCAGCCCCCTTTCTTGTGACCCCCTCCCACTCCAGCACATTTTGGAGTCTCATCTCTCATCCAGCAGCAGGGTCTAGCTGAATCATGTGTACATGTAGAAACCCTTGAACTGACTTTCCAGGCTCGGGGAACTCCTGCTAATAATTGCTATATCTAAAATTCACGGGAAATTAGTGTGATGGACATTGAGGAAAAAGCTCCTTACACTGGTGGTCATTAAGACTAATCCCACCTTACAGGTAGCTAAATGGATCATTGTTGTCAGTGGTTGTTTACCTGAGAGGCAGAAATTGCTCAAGGAACCCCTAGCAAGCTATGGAGGAACTCTAGTGTTTTACGGAATCCCCGCTGAGAAAGCCTGGTTTACCTTTTCTTGTTATATACTCCCATGTATACAATTAACAAAAAGGTAAAAACAGAAGAAGGGAGACCCATTGTGATGGCTTCATCCGACGTTAGACCCAAAGGAAGATGGCGGGTGATATAATTTCCAGGAATGTACCTAAAATGAATATGACTACTTTGGCTGAGCTGCCCTTAAAGTGGACCTTCACTCTCCTCAGGAACCTTCCACCATCTCATCCAATCACCCCCCTCTTTTTTCAAAATCAAATTTTTTAAATTAAAAAAAAAAATTCTCCCTCCCCTCAACACTTTTTGGATTCTCACTTAGGCAAGAATGATGTTTCTCTTGCCTGCAGCTTCTTGGGTTACTCACACAACCCAGGAGGTCACGGGTTATTCTAGTGCTCATGTGCCGTGTCATTCGGGGGCCAGCTTCCCCTTACCCGTCATCAGGAGGCCAGCTGAAAGAGACACCTGGCCCTCTGATGACATCACAGAAGAATGCGTTTTGAGTCCCAGTGTGCAGATATCTACAGAATACCGCTGAATCCCTGGGTGTGTGAGCATGTTTTTTGTTACTCAGCAAAAATGTTAACGGTGGGGGGTGAAGTTGTCCTTTAATGATTTCTAGAATCAATTAATTTATTGTTATACCTGTGTGGTGCTTGGTATATGCTTAATACTGTGTGGTGCTGAAGGAGATATCATTAACAATGTACACTCCAAGCTCCAGAATATCCATTTTCATATATGGTTAGCCACTTAGTGATGATTGGTAAAGGAGTATAATTTTATCTATACAGTGAAACTCAAGTTACACCAACCATTTTGAATTACACAGATGCCTTTAAATTACACAGAACAAATCCTATTGGGTCACAGTCAACTAGACAGAAATATAAACATTAGTTACTATGAATCTCATTCATATCAATGTATTTATCACAAGTGTCAGTTGTGGTTCAAAATTAAATACTGTGGTGCAACCTAAAACAACCCTGTCACTATACAAAATGTTTTAAAGTCCAATTCTGGACAGGATTATCTTATCTCCTTCAGCCAGCAGTTACTAACCTGTAGCTCTTAACTCTAATTTTCAAGTATTTAATACAAAAAATAAAATAATTGTTTATTTAAATTAATCAGAGTTGAGAAGGCATTTAGCAATCTTCACCTATAAGGTGATATTTCAGTTCTGTGTGGAGTCACCCCAGCTTTATACATCAAAATCCATTGAAGATCTCTGCACTGAATTCACAACTGAGATGACCTAATGTATTTATTATACTGGGAGACTTTATTCCAGTATTGTGTCCCTTTTTTTTTCTTTGGTCTCATAATGTCTCAATAAGAGGGCAATATGAGAACTTGTGACAGGTGTATCACATGGCTGGAATTTCCAAGCAATTAAAATAGAAGGCTGGATATTTAACCAAAATCAATTTTGGGTGGTCTGACCCAGCCTCATTGTGAAGCTGACAATATACTATCTGATTGTATAATCTCTTTTAGCTCTACCATCAGGGCCTGCCTGATTTCATACAAATTGAGTTTATTGTTTAGGATTGTACTCATATTACATAGATTTGTAAGGAGATTTTACATAAATAATGACTGCTTCCATTAAAACCCTTTATACTTTTGCTAGTAGACAGAACAGGTTTCCTTAAAGCAGAATATTACCTAAAAGGGGAAGTTCTGCTTTTCTGATTCCACTTTTTTTTTTGGGGGGGGGGAGGGGTCAGCGGGTACCTAGTTTTGATAGGTAAATGCCCCCACTTCCATCCGGATCACCTAGGCGATCCAAGTAGATGTTTGGGTCCCCCCTTTAACTGCACTCTTCTGGGACACATCACAGGTCCCAGGATGCTGTGGATCTATTTACAACACGCAGCTCAATTTACTCATGTGCATTGGGAAGCCAGCTGTGAAGCAGCAAGGAGTCACAGCCAGCTTCCCAAACTAGAAATGGCAGAGCTGGGGACCCAAAGACCAGTGAGGAACTGGCGAGGATAGCGCTTGATCCCTGGACAAGTAAGTGTCCTTTTATTAAAAGTCAGCAACTACAGTATTTGTAGCTACCGACTTAATTTTTTTGGAGGGGACTGATGATTCTCTTTAAGGAAGTCTCCTTCCTAATACTGGGGGTTATTTACTAAAGCTGGAGGGTGCAAAATTTGGTGCAGCTCTGCATAGAAAACGATCAGCTTCAGGTTTTATTGTCAAAGTTTAATTGAACAAGCTGAAGTTAGAAACTGATTGGCTACCATGCACAGCTGCTGCAGATTCTGAGTGCTTTAGGTTAGTAAATCTCTCCTAAAATGTTTTTAACATTCAATAGTGTAATAGTTTCTATTGTTTGTGTTGGTGGCATTAACCTTACTGTCTACCAAGGTACATTTATAACATCCTAGTATTCAGGGGTTAAAACAGAACCGTAAAAGTGCAACCCCTCCTCCATAATTTACAGGTAACTCTAAATTATTCACCTCTAATGTTATTTAATTGCCATTGGACAATTTTGGGTACCATCATTATTCACCCTTTTATCATGTGTGGACAATTGTAAGGCTTCAGTTGTATGGTATCTATTTTATTGTCCTAACCCATATTTGATATTTTAATGAAAAATTGGTGTTATACTGTGTTTACTGTACGTATCCTAAAATTCATTTTAGTGATTTTTTTCCCCTAAATTTCTGCATTTAATAAACAGTTGCATATGTATCTGCAACATAAAACAATGCAATTAGCACCATTTTATTCTGCAGGGCCTCTGCTTTCAGAAAATATAAAATTGGGGAGTTAAAGTAATTTTTTGTAATGAATGCAGATTTTATTATGTTAGTGAAAATTTTAAAAGTAGTTAAAATGGTTAAAGACTTCATTATCTCAGACCGGATTGGCTGTTGTAAGGTTACGCAAAGGTATTATTTCACATATTTCAATAAATCAAGCTCCTAGTATTTCCTTTACACTTAAATATATGCAATATTAAAGACAAATGGACTGTACGGGAATGCTGTGAAGTATAAATGATTATAGAGTTCCAGTGGCCATATGGCACCACTCGTTGGTGCTGCTGGTCTTTAAATGTCCTTCAGATTCTTTTATTTAATAAAGTAGAATATATACTGTGTAATTCATAAAAAATTATGTATGTAAACTGCTTGCCCTATGGACACTATTAAGATATCAAGAATGATGTTGTTCAGTGTATCCTTTTCATGAAATATTAAACTTGCATACTGGGTTTTGAGTATTTTCACTGGTAATAGGATTATGGTCAATAATGAATTCTGTGGATCCATACCTGAATCTATAGAAAGTTGATCACTGTCACTTTCTTGTGTAATGTTCTTATGACTAGGGTCTTCCTTCCAGCCCTAGGTGGTAGATACCTTTAATGACTCATTGCTGATGACAAACATTTTGTACAGAATGTCCTACATACAATATTTGCATACATAACCGACTCACAAAATAAGAATTTACAACTCAATCACAAGACTTGTTCTTGATTTTCAGTATGTTTTAGTCATTTTCCATATGTCTTCTGTTGCTGATCCTGTTGCTGAGTGTCCTTACATAGGATAGCCATATAGTACTCCACCAGATTAAGTCATATACATACTCTGGTGCTAATAAGCCTGCCTCCACACTCAGGTCTGTTCTGGCAATCAGGCAATCCTACTAATTACTATGGGTTACTGTACAATCATGATTGTTTTATTAATCATATCCAAACTTGGTGAAAATTGGCAACATAGGCAGAGGACTGAGGCAGCAGACTGTCCCTTCTCTCACTATCTTATCAAATCTATTTTTTTTTTTTTAAGTAAGACCAGCATTATGGAATGAACTTAAAACTGCACATAGAATGTATCTACACACACAAACATATATTCAGGTTAATAATTTTAATATTTGCTTTACATTATTCTTTTCTTTTTCTAAATATTGTAGAGACCTAAGTGCAATATAAATCCTCAGGTGTCTACACATACATTTAGGCCTCATGCCCATTGGACGTTTTTGCTATCTCTACTAGACACTGTTCCTCCTGGCAGCGGTGTTTTGCCAGAAAAAAATTATTGAAGCTTGTAAGCGAGTGTAAACACATTTTAGGTGTGTTTAGTTGCATCAGGTGCTTGGGTGTTAATTAATTTCATTGGCCAGAATATTAATTTATTGAATATTTAAATGAATTAACACTCAAGCACTAAACGTGCCTAGCGGTAACAAACGTTTACAGGTGTCAAGCATTTTTTTCTGCCAAAATGGCACTGCTCTTGGCAGTGTTTTTTTTTCTTCTGCCTCTAAACTCCTATAAACGTACTCATATTTCCTCCCCACATGCCCCTTCCCATGACTTCTCTGTCAAGATCAATGGCACAATCAATAACCCGTCCCTGCATGCCAGGGTGCAAGGTGCAATCCTGGGCTCTGAACTCTCCTTTCAGTCCCACATCCAATCACCGTCCAAAGCTTTCTGCCTCAACCTCCGCACCATCTCCAAAATATGCCCCTTCCTAACCAATGAAACAAAAAAGTTCCTAATTCACTCCCTTGTTATCTCTTGCCTCTACTACTTCAACTCCCTCCTCATCAGCTTACTTCAGCATAGGCTATTCCCTCTGCAGTCCATCATGAATGCTGCCACCAGACTCAACTACTTTACCAACCACTCAGTGTCTGCCACCCCTCTCTACTAATCCCTCCACTGGCTACCACTCACCCAACAAATTAAATTCAAAATACTAATAACTTACAAATCCATCCACAACTCTGCCCCCAGCTACATCACTAACTTAGTCTTAAAATACCAACCTAATTGTTCTCTTCGTTCCTCTTAAGACCTCCTGCTCTCTAATTCTCTTGTCACCTCCTCCCACGCTCACCTCCTGGACTTCTCCTGAGCCTCTCTCATCCTTTGGAATTCCTTACCTCAATCTGACTGACTATCTCCTATGCTGTCCACTTTTAGGCGATCCCTGAAAACCCTTTTCTTCAGAGAAGCCTATCCTGCCTCCACCTAACAACTGTACTATTATTTTCCCCATCAGTTTGTCCCCCCACAGTTATTACCTTTTGTATCATTTGACCCTCCATTTTAGATTGTAAGCTCTAATGAGCAGGGCCCTCTGATTCCTCCTGTATCGAATTGTATTGTAACTGTACTGTCTGCCCTTATGTTGTACAGTGCTGTGCAAACTGTTGGCACTATATAAATCCTGTATAATAATCATTATTTAAAAAGCCTATGTGTGCATGGACACATAGACTAACATGCAGGGGTGTTTGGAGTCAGTAAAAAAAAAAACATCAGACGCACCCCAAGAGCAATGACAAAAACGTCCAGTGTGTATGAAGCATTAAGCAGCCCTTTGGGCACCCTAAGAGCCCCTCAACCCACAGGAACTAATCTAAGTAAATGTTGGCTTTAACCAAGAAAGTTAACTGCTGGTTTTCTCTCTCCAGTCTTCTGTAACTCTTTATTGGCCCTTGAATGTGATGTGCAGTCTCAATATTCAATGACATGCTATGAGAGGTCAGACTGGACAGGCAGCCATTCAGGGTTATTTACTAAAACTGGAGAGTGCAAAATCTGGTGCAGCTGTGCATGGAAAACAATCAGCTTCCACGTTTTATTGTCAAAGTTTAATTGAACAAGCTGAAGTTTGGAGCTGATTGGATACCATTCACAGCTGCACCAGATTTTGCACCAGTTTTAAAAAATCTACCCCCATTGTCTTTCTCTGCATCAGGGGCAGACTGACAACTCATGGGGCCCCCTACTGACCCCGGACCCTCGGGCAGTGCCCCAGTGCTCGAATGGTCAGTCTGCCCCTGCTCTGCATTTACATGTTAGAATGCCCCAGGGTATCTGTAGGCACCTTTAGTATGGCATTGTATTTAGACTGATATATTACAATGAAAGGAAGGGTTTATTTTAAGAATAAAACATTTTCTTAACAAAACAACTGCAACATTCACCCAGAATATTCTATACCTATTTATAGTTCTGACATTTTTCTGTTTCAGATTTGTATTACATAAGGAACAATTTACATCATTGTAGATTAATTTTAGGGTCTTAGCAGCTTGGAAAATATGTTTTCATTGGAAAGGATGAATAGCAAACTCTCCACTTATAGTAAGGATTCTGATTTTCTAGACTCTTTATAGTATAACTTTGAAGATAAGACGTGCTTATGAGCACTGCCTATAGTCAGTTTGGAGTAAAAAAAATAGTAAGCTGCTTGCTGTGTAAAGATAGCGCAACATACCATGTGTGTGTACATGAAGTGACACAAAGGGAATGTGAGGGCTCCATGCCATTAAGAGGGGCAGTGCCCATGTCCAAAGGAATGTTTTATCTATACCATAACAAACCATATACAGTAGGAATGTTTATCGAAGGTTCCAGACACGCTTCAGGGATCTGTGTCCCATTCATCAGGGCTAATTATAGACAAATGTATTATTAATAATAAAACATTGCTATATAATTCCATAATAATTATGTATTCATAAATGAATTAATAAAAATATAGACATCCATATCTACATTTATAGATACATGCATACATACAAACATCCATAAACATTAAAAAAAGATGCCACAAATTTAAGAATAGTACTAATAAGTATTACTAAATGATAGTAATATGTAAAAACAACTGGCTATCATAGTAATATCTAGTCTAAATTACTATTATTATTTTTATATCTAAACATCTAAACATTAAACAGTAATTAACTATACATTAGTAAATGATTCCAAGAAGGAAAAAATAGTGGGGAGTTTGTTGTGGGAAGATTCTCAACTGCTTTAATAAGTCAGCCCAATTATAAAAAAAAAAAATCATTATATAACATGAAAAGAAAGTAATATGGGGGCTGCCATTGCTGATCTTCTGAAAATGCTAGTTTCCTGGCTGTGTATGGCTTCAGTACTGTCTGACATGGTACAAGCATATACAAAATAAGATTAGAATGCCATGTTTGCATACTTGACACAGGACAAGGACTTAAAAAGTATTAAAGGGTCTTGCTGAGCATGGCAGCTAGCATTTTCATATAGAGATGGGCAGCAGTGGCATCTTCCATGTTTTTCTTAGCAAGGGTTTCTTTAACAATGCTACAAATTATCAATAGCTGCAACATGTCGAACATTCCATTCACACACTCCCAAAGTTGTGTTGGTACATTTGTTCTGTTGGTATATACTGTACAGTATACATATATATATATATATATATATATATATATATATATAAATATATATAAAAATATATTTTCTTTCTCATTTACAGAAATACACAACTCACACATCTTCCAGTCCTTTTATCCCAACATTGAATGCAATAACCTCAAGTCAAGATCTTAACTGGATGGTCCAGCCTAGCGTTCGACCATTAGCCTTACCGCCATACCCCAGCCCTCGTCATGGTGTTATCAGAAGCATGAGTGGAGTCCTCAATATGGCAAGAAGACGTGTTGGTGAACATGTAAGTATTCTTTTGTCTGTTAATTTTCTATTTTCAAAAGCAAAGCTTACAGTGGTCTTAATGAAAATAGCACTGCTATTATGAACAACTAGATATTTCTTCTAGTAAAAAATACAATCAACTTGGGGGAAGTTGATTTATATTTAAATATTACCTTATTGTATGGTGTTCCTTCTGTATCAGCACCATCATATTATATTCTGAAATCTTTGGCATGTGTTGTACCAAAATAAGTAGTAATTCTGTAAAATTAATTAAAGCAGAACTCACGGAAAATATTTTTTGGTCCCATGCAGTGGGGCTGTGCCCGCACTGCATAGGTTTACTGCTCGTTTTTGTCTACCGGTGGGGTGAGGGGAGATATACTTGCCTAATCCGCCGATTCTCCCAGCGCAAGACCAGTCACCCCCTCGCAATCGTGTGGTCTTGAGCAGCGGTCTGTTCCTGACTTCATCACGCTCATAGACTGGCTCTGGAAGTGTGGACGGCAGGAAAAGTTCACCGCTGGACGTGGGGGAGGGCCATTTTCTGGATTATCAGAGGATTGGGTGAGTATAAGCATTGCGTTCACCCCTAGACAAAAGCAGCAGGCACAGCTCCACTACATGGGAGAAGATTTTTTTTTCCTGGAATTCTGCTTTAAGCTCTACTCCACTCCAAACAGAATGTAAAAGTATATTATGCTTTAAAGTGTGCAGTGATACATAGTAAGTTTGTCATATGGTAAATTTGCACTGACACATCACATATTGCAGCATAATGTGGTTTGTGGGTGCTAAAGTCAGCCTTTAAAAGGGTCACACAGTCATGCATCTTTTTAGAAGCTGCAGAGACTGAAGTAAACCATCTTTGACTGAATGGTTTATAATAATTTATTAATGGTTTAATATAATTTCTAATTTCATTCCTGTGCTTCTGCAATGGTGCATTAATTGGTATAGCCCCCATCTTCACTGGCAAAGCCTTAGGCATATGTGAGCACAACATAATGGTCTGACACCATTAGACTTATTCAGTACAAGAATGCAAAGTGCTTTAAAGGAGAAGTGACTGCTGATCACTCAGTTCTCGGTGTTCACTGAGCAGAGAGCAGTGACTGTCAGTCACCACTCTCTGCTCTGCCCCTCTAGTGTTCAGTGGAGTGCGTGGGAGCAGCCGGCTCAGCCTCTTAGCAGTATGCTGAGAAGCTAAGTCAACTGTCGGTCCAGGCATCTGGGTGGATCCTGACCTTAAAGTCGGGATCCTTGCAGAACTTGGACCGGCTTTGTGATGTCAGCCGACAGCAGGCTTTATCTTGCTCTCGGCTGAATCTGGGTCATAGGAGTGCAGAATTAAGTGCGTTCTCGTGACCTAGAAAAGAAGTATGGCCAAAAAAGCTTTGTCCATTCTTCTATTTTAATTATAGTAACCAATTAGATTTTAATTCTCTCTAGACTAACCTCTTACATATGGCTCTGTGGAACTCCAGGGTTTCTCCAGAGACTGCTAGGGGCTCCTTGAGCAGTGGTGGATTGATCTCTCCACTCTCTTCTTCATTGTTCAAGCACCTAGGTCACATGAAAGAGGCAGTGGCATGGAGCTAGTGGAGCCTCTCCACTCATCTGTCAGACACCAATGACACCTGACAACAATTACCTTTTTAGCTATCAGTGTAAGGGGGGACCTGTCCCTTTGACTGCCAAAATAAGGGAGACCCTTTTCCATTCTCCTCACTGACCATCAATGTAAGCCTTTCTCCTAGTGACTACCAATGTCAGTGGGGGCAGTCCTCATACTGAATACCAATAAGGGGGCATTTCTGCACTGACTGCTACAGTATGTAACTTACAAGTTATTGGTCATGCTAATGTCCCGTGCGCTGTAGATGTAATAATTTTAAGCAGAAGTTCCTTAAAATCAGTGAATTAATTCAAGGGTTCCTCCACAGTAAAAAGAGGTTGAGAAAAACTGTTTAGGCTGATTTTTGAGTGGAAATTTTTGACTTGTCGGTATGGGTACTATATCCTGCACCAGAGGTGTAGCTGGGGGGGGGGGGGGGGGGGGGGGGGGCAGGGGGGTACATACGTACCTGGGTGCCAAGGTACAGGGGCGCCAAAATGAGGTCAAAAGATCACTGCAGTGGCTGCAGCAGACATGTCATCTGATATGTCTGCCATCCACAGTGAGTTATGAGAGGAGAGAGGAGCCAGCCAGGAGACGAGCAGAGAGGAGGGCAGTGAGCCAGGCATGTGCCGGAGGGGACGAGGGGAGAGCCAAGCCGGGTGAGTAGTGCCATGGATGAAGGGGGGGGGCAATGTGATCGGGACTGGGGGGTGTCTACAGGGACCATATGAAGCGGGGGGGGGGGGGTTGTCATGAGGTGGCCGTTTGTCCCCGGGTGCAAAATATCCTCTGTCCTGCACATTATCACTTTATGTACAGATTTATGGGATAAGCCTGCTAGTTGAGTTGACTAAGGTCAGAGTCAGGTTCAGGATTTTGATATACCATATGCTAATTTTCTAGAAAGTTTAACATCTTAAAAAACACTCTATTTAACAAAAAGATGTACCTTGAAGCTCCCATATCTTATGAGACATTTCATAGTGCGACTGATCCTAGGGGAACCTAGGACCCCTGTATCCCCCCTTATTCCCCCCAGGCATACTCACCTTAGATGCTGTCAGTACTTGCCAGTTATATTATTCCAAGTAAGAGGCCAAGGCTTTATTCATATATATGTACAAATGAAGATTATTTTGCAAAAAAACGTGTTTATTTTTAAATATTGTAAAATGCCTTACCTTATACTGAAATACTGTATTCAGCCTTACTTTCCTATATAAGTAACACCACTTTAGAGAATTTCTCTTATATTTCTCTAGTGTCGTAAATGGGTACATTTTAGCTGATTTTGTGATAAATAACAGCCCATACCTTTGTAATGTTCACCATTTTGCTAAACTGAGAAGGTATTTTCATTGTCATTGTTGATGGTATTAATGCCTATGGGTGTGCCTTGAAGAGTTAAAAAATGGTGTGTGTGCCTGCAGTAAGAAGCATTGCACATGTCGCGGAAACAGTTGACGGGCGACTCATAGTCGAAGTAGGGGGTGAGTCACGGGGAAAAAAAGCTGGGATGTGAGTGTCAAACCACAGATTGGAGCGGGATAAACATTAATGGCTGAGTCATTGGGTCACACACACTGCCAATCCTTCCATTCATAAAGAAAGTACACTTCATTCATCCCTTAATACTCTGTGACCTATGCACATAGTAAAAACACTAGATAAGCAGTGGCACTGCCAGCTTCCGAATCTGCTATACTCCAGTATAGTGGGACAGCTGTAGTATATGTATTTAACCTGAGCAATCTTCTTATTGCAACACAACAGGATATCTGAATAACTGCATGAATCAGAAGTTACTCAGACAATTAACGATCTACTTTTTTTGTTGATTTTCCTAATTACATTTAGGTGTGCATGCTTTACTCATGTGCATTATTTTTACTGAAATTTTATTCAGGTATCAGCTGAAGAAGAGGAGAGGAGAAGAGTGCGAAGAGAGAGGAATAAGATTGCAGCTGCCAAGTGCAGAAACCGTCGTAAAGAGCTAACCGACTATCTTCAAGCGGTAAGAGCCTGTCTGGGGGGAATGCAATGTGGTCACCAGTGTGGGTCATACTTTTTCCCTTCAGCTGTCTTTTAGAGACTCTAGATACTCATATCTTTAAAACAAAGACTAGTATCTGCACACGGGTTTTCTGCTTGCTGTCTTCTAGACCTAATTACAACTAAAACCAGTCCTGCTACCGTACCCCAGTTAGACTTGGTATTATGCTGATTTTTCTTATACAGATAGGAAACACACACACACTGTTTTTTAAAGTCCAAATTAAGTCTCCCATCTTTTTTTTTTCACTTTATGGTCCTGTACCACTGTAAGTTATGAAGTTTAATTGATTTTGCATTTGGGAATACATTAAAATACCACTTTTTCATATTAGAAAAGCAGTTTCTCCTTACTTACTCTAGTGCCTTGTGCTGGCACAGCATCCTTGTGAACATTTGTGTTAAAGAGATGGGGGAGTTTGACCAGGTCATTTAGAGTACACTGGATACTGTGTTCAGTCCTCTAGTGCTTCTTGGATTCCACAGTTATATTTTTTATCAGACTGAACATTTTGTTTTCCTGACTTCGATTGAGACACACATATTGGTTTAATGGATGAACTTGTATCTTAAATATATATATATAGAGAGAGAGAGAGAGAGAGAGAGAGAGAGAGAGAGATAAACAAAGTAAGAATGTGCATTTAAAGTGAAAAGTGAATGTAAAGGTTCAGATTTTTTTTAATAACAAACAAGTCATACTTACCTGCTCTGTGCAATGGTTTTTCACAGAGCAGCCCCAATCCTTCTCGGGTCCCCCACTGGTGCTTCAGGCCCCTTTCCTTTGCTGAGTGACCCAAGAACAAGCAGCGTGCTGTGGGGGCACTCGTGTGTGCTTGCTCCTGAGCTGCCTATGTGTCTATTAGACATACAGAGCTCGGCTTGCCCCATCCCAGTCCCCCCGCTTCCTCCTCACTGGCTCTGATTAACAACAGTGGGAGCCAACAGCTCCCACTGCTGTGTCTCAGCCAATAAGGAGGCAGAGACCCAGAAGAGCTTCTTCTCTAGTTCACGTTGCTAGATCAGGCTCAGGTGAGTATAAGGGGGAAGGGGGCTGAGGGGGAGAGCTGCACACTGAAGGTTTTTTACCTTCATGCATAGAATGTATGAAGATAAAAAACCTTCAGCTGTTGGATCTTTAAACTGTAATTGTAGAAAATTAAACTCAACACATTTTTTTACCATTTTCAGGAAACAGACAAGCTGGAAGAAGAAAAGTCATCGCTGCAAAAGGAGATAGCAGAACTGCAGAAACAAAAAGATAAGCTTGAACTGATTCTTGATGCCCACCATCCAATCTGCAAAGTGGCCCACTCTCAACAAAATAACCAGCAAGGGAGCTCTTCTAAATTTGTTAAAGAAGAGCCATATGAAGAATCAGCACGAGGTTCCAAAGTCAAACTTCCTAGAATAGAGATTAGCGACACACTTCTTGAACCAGAGGCTCTTCACACTCCTACCTTAATGAAGACACCATCAATTACACCCTTCACACCAACCTTGGTGTTCACTTATCCTGGACCTCAAGAATCTTGTTCCACAGCTCATCGCAAGCTCAGCACTAGCAGTAGCAGTAGCAGCGGGGATCAAAGTCCAGGGTCCCTTAGCTCACCGACTTTATTGACTCTATGAAATGATCTTGGAGAGAGGAGGGTGCCTTTGGGAGTATTACATTATGTCTAAACTGATTTCAGGTAGACCTATGCCAGTCTTAAAATTGTTGTAGATCCCTATATAGGATCAGATTCACTTTATCAGTAAAGCATGCTATCACTTTTCCCTACATTTGTTTGTTATTAATATATTTGTTTCATTATAATTTGTTAGATGCGTGGCCTCCTTTTATAAGGTCACAAGTTTAGTCAGAAATAGAGCTATATAGGAGCACAGGGTCACAGTTAAAGGCAGAGCCAACATTAAACTGCATGTCCACTGTGGTATGGTCAATAGAAAAGGTAGCGGCAGAGCCGAAATAATACTATGTTACTGCGTAGTAAGATTTGGGAAAAAAAAGTAACGGCAGAGCCGGTCTACTTTGTATTTATTAAAGTATATTTTTGTATGGTTATTGTTTGGGGTAAAGTATATACATTTTGATAATGCAGTAGTAATAAAGAACCCCCAAATAAATTCATTTTTTCATATTTCTGACTTACTGTACAATTTGTTGGTGGTATATTCTCAAATGAGCATGTGTTAGGGGATAAAATACACAACAAATGTCAGGAAAAAAATTGTACATACTGTATTTTAGTAGCATATTGCATGTTTTGCATGGATTTGTGGGGCAATCATATACAGGATAAAGAAAAATGCCATACAAAATATTGATGTTATGGGCACAGGTTAATTAGGGAACCTAGTATGCAAGGTTATACTTTCAAAGAGTCTTCGTGCTGATGCACTTCATCATTTCCCTTCTCCTTGTCCTAAGGGCCAGTTCACACCACAAAAACATACTCTGGATGTGCTCCTGGAGTGTTTTTGCTTACAGTTCACAACACACTCCATTCTGGTGCATTTTTTATGCGTTTTGCTGTGTTCCAGTATGGTTGTGTGCAGAAAAAAATGCAACATGTTTTACATTTTTTCTGCATCAGAAACTGCCTGGAACTGACTGCACTGGTGTGAACTAGGGCAATTGGAATACATGGAAAACAGTGTGCATGCATTTTTGATGAAGAAAAAAAACCCACACTTGACTGCATCTGGTGTGAACCAGCCCTAATATACAATGGACATACAGATTGAATGGTGCTGGATCTCAAAAATTGTTAGGGTTTAATGTAATTTGCTTATTCAAATGGTACACTGACCCTTGGGTGAGGCAGCTCTTACTCAAGGAATAGCCAGGATATGGCCCTTAAGACAGACATGCAGTAACTGTAGAGAAAAGAGAACACTAAACCAGAGCTCAGGGTTCAAAGAGCAAAGTCCATTTAATAATCATTAATATTACAATCCAACTCCTTTTCAGGGGCCACAAAAAAATCCTCTTTATTCAGGGCTGTAGGTATTTAAGTGGAACAAAGGCTGTTTCAAACCATGTAGGCATGTAGGTCTTGATTGCAGATGTGGGAGTCTTCTCTGCAGTAAAAGCTAATTTTCTGCCTGCTAGCAGTGTTCTTGTAATAGGCATGCCTTGGGTGCCATGATGAATTATTTCATGTGCATGAATTACATCATTCAGAAATCAAGCCAATCAATCAAGATTGCTGAAGATGCCAACCCTGCAAGAGACCAGATGAAGATATCAGTGGCATCAATAAGGGAGATCCTGGACATGGCATTGCTGGAGGAGGCACTTAGAAAAGAAAGTGTATCATAGTTTGCAAGTATGCTGTGCATGCTAGCATATTATGCCAAAAGCCCACCCAACCAATGCAGAATTTAGTTTTTTTAATAAGAGATTATAATTCAGACTACAGTGTATGAATAGAAGAACTCTGCTGAAGCGATGGTTATAATTCTTTAAAAGAATCAGGTCTATCCATGCACTGCAGTTTGGATAATATGCTCTTCAATAACCTGCAGCCCTAATAAAGTGGGATTTTTGGGACCCTATAAAAGTGTTGGATAGATTTTTTTTCTAAATAATAATAATTAGCACACAGACTTTCTTTTTTTGGGCCCTGAATTCTAATTAAGTTTGCTCTTTTCTTTACAAGTAGCACATTACACTTATTTGGCCAGTGGAGTTGATGCATAATACTGACAGGCATTGATGATACTCAACTCATTCAGAAGAGCTTGTTTATAATCGAGTGTTACTCCTACAATCCAATACACTGAAAAATCTTTGACCAGGTCTGAAAAAAAAACACGAATGCATCCACCAAGTCTATGGTCTAGTAAGCTGCAATATATTAAATTTTTGTTCTTGGGTTTAGTTATCCTTTACATCTGACCAGCAATTATTGCATCAGTGCTATAATTGTATCCCCTATTCTGGAGCTCACTTAGGGCTTGTTTGCACCAGTCACTGCATTGATCATTATTATTATTATTATTATTATACAGGATTTATATAGCACCAACAGTTTGCGCAGCGCTTTACAATATAAGGGAGACAGTACAATTACAATACATTTCAGTACAGAAGGAATGTGAGGGCCCTGCTCATGGAGCTTACAATCTAAAGGAAAGATGATACAAAAGGTGATAGCTGTGGGGGATGATCTGGTGGAGGTGATTCAAGTAGACTTCTTAGGTGGAGGTGGGGTGGGCTTCCCTGAAGAAGTGCGTTTTCAAAGATCGCCTAAAGGCAGACAGGGTGGGGGCTGACCGGACATGCTGTGGTAGGGTGTTCCAGAGGATGGGAGAGGCTCTGGAGAAGTCCTGGAGGCGAGCGTGGGAGGAGGTGAAGAGGGAGCTAGAGAGGAAGATATCATGGGAGGAGCGGAGTGGGCAATTTGGCCAATATCTGTGGATGAGGTCGGTGATGCAGCTAGGGGCAGTGTTGTGGATGGCTTTGTAAGCTGTGGTTAGTTGTTTGAATTTTATACGTTAGGTTATTGGATGCCATAGAAGGGATTGACAGAGAGGGGCATCAGTCACTGATTGGTTGGTAAGGTATATGAGTCTAGCAGCAGCATTCATAATAGAATGAAGGGGGGATAGCCTATGTAACGGTATACCAGTGAGGAAGGAGCTGCAGTAATCGAGGTGGGATATAACCAAGGCGTGAATAAGTTGTTTTGTGGTGTCATTGTGGTGTCATTGGGCGGATTTTGGAAATGTTCCGCAGGTTGAGGCAGCAGGATTTAGCCAGTGAGTGGATGTGGGGCCCAAAGGAGAGGTCAAAGTCTAGGATTACACCTAGCACCCTGGCATGAGGGGAAGGACCAATGGTTGTGCTGTTGATCTTAATGGTAAAGTCGTGAGTGGGGGATCGGGGAGGAGGAAATATTACAAGCTGAGTTTGAGGTAGTGATGTGACATCCATGCTGATATGTCGCTTAGTAGATTTGTGATAGGTGAGGAGATTGAGGGGGTAAGCTGGAGAATGGAGAGATAGATTTGGGTGTCATCAGCATAGAGATGGTATTGGAAGCCATGGGAGGTTATCAGTTGGCCCAGGGAGGAGGTATAGAGAGAGAAAAGGGGGGGCCCAAGAACAGAACCTTGGGGTTCCCCAACAGAAAGGGGAAGAGGAGCGGAGGCAGAGGAGTTGTATGTGATACTGAAAGTGCACTGAGAAAGGTAAGAGGAGAACCAGGAGAGAGCAGAGTCACGGAGGCCGATGGAGTGGAGTTTACTGAGGAGGAGCAGGTGGTCGACTGTGTCAAAAGCAGCGGAAATGTCAAGGAGTATAAGCATGGAGTAATGGCCGTTGGTTTTAGATCATTGACAAATGATGCTCTGAGCTTGGTGTATCACACTGTTTCCTTTTTTAAAAGAACTTTTTTGAAAAGTCACACAGACATCTCATGAAGTTTAATTGCCAGCTACATGATGCACGGCAGTGGATTGCCTCGCACTGTGCTGCGCTGAAAAAAAGTATTTTAGACTTACATTTATGAGTCCCTAGAACTCTATGATTAAGCCCCAGTAAGGGGTGAAATGCATTAAATTGAGGGTCCTGCGTGGGAGTGTCTTTGCTGTTCTGAACCTTAAAGTTGTTTTTACCCTTTGGAAGAGGGAAATTTTGTTGAATTGTCTGTGTTGCTGTTGAAGAATTTCCTTTATTTTCTGTCTGGGGAAAAGGTTGCCCCCAGGACAATGAGTTCTGGGAACTCTGTGTAATTGAGTCGCAGACAGCAATAAAACCTGACAAGGGTAATAAGCCTTCCCCTCTCTATCCAAAACTAAAAAACACATTTTTGGTAATAGATTCACTTTAAAAGTGCTATGTCTCCACAAGTGGGAGGCATACATGGAGACAGCCAATCAAAATTGAGAACCCTTTTCTTTATCCTGTCCCTCTTAACCTCCTTCATACTATTCTTAATGGTATAATAAGTTTAGGAAACAGTTTAAGGCAACAGCACTTAAAAATGCTAGATATACACGAACACTGAGTTAAAGGCATTGGATGAATATTTTGTAGCTTTTGGAGCATTTACAAGAGTCAAAGGAGCATATTAGTCATGTTTCAATGCATTTTGAAGCTTATTATGGTGTTTTGAAATATTAAAACACTTGTAACAAAGGTTTATGGGTATATAATTAGCATTTTATTGGAACTGAAAACACTGCTAGAAAATTGCTGCGTGAAGATTTTTATAAACACAAGTATAATATGCTAGTGTGAAAACTCACAATTGAAAACATTGAAATTGCTTTTGTATGTAGCGCCCAACCCTTGTTAGGCTGATAGGCTATATTTAGTTTTTCGTTTCACTGTAATGAGTGAAACAGTGATCAATTGGTTTTGTCTGTTGAGGATTTCCTAAGCTGGGTGTTTGATTCCTCCTATCTACTTCTGGAAGAAGCTTCCACAGTAAAGGGCAATGAGATTCAAATGACCAGTATGAATGCTCCTGAAGGCAGCTTTACTTAGTCAAGGATTACAGTCTGGGCCTCAGCAGGAGCCGGGCTGAGGGCCTGGAGAAGATTGCAATAGAGGATTTTGATACAATCTGGGCCTCAGCAAGAGTTGGGCTGAGAGACTGGAAAATACTGTTAAAAAA